TTTCAGGTTGGAAATCTGTATCCAGCGGGGTTCTACAGAGATCGGTGCCATTTACAATAACTACAACTGTTTACAACGTAAATTAATAACTTGGAGGAAGGAAGTGAATGTACTATAGCCAAATTTACAGACAACATAAAAATAGGTCGAAAAGCAGGTTGAGAGTGGGGTAAAAACAGTTTACAGAGAGATAGATTAGTAAGTGGGTAAAATTGGCAAAAAATGGAATATAATGTGGGAAAATGTGAAGTTGTTCATTTTTGAATGGAAAAAAAAGAACGGAATATTATTTAAATGAAGAAAAATGCAGAAAGCTGCAACACAGAGGTACTTAGGCGTGACTTGTGCATGAAACCTAGAAAGCCAGCACACAGGGGCAGCAGGTAATCAGGAAGGCCATTTGAATGTTGGCCCTTATTTCAAGGGGGTTGGAGTATAAGAGTAGGGAGGTCTTACTGCAACTGTACATGGTGCTGTCGAGACTACACCTGGACTACTGTGAAAATTTTTGGTCCCCTTGTTTAAGGAAAGATTTCATTTCATTGGCAGTAGTTCAGAGAAGGTTCGCTTAGATGACCCCTGTTTGGGAGGGTTATAACTCATTCAGAGATAGTAAGAACTGCTGATGCTGGAGTCAGAAATTCACAGTGTGGAGCTGGAGGAACATAGCAGGCCAGGCAGCATCAGAGGAGCAGGAGAGTTGACGCTTCGGGTCAGGACCTGACTGTGCTCCTCTAGCTCCACACTGTATTATCCCTGATTGGGAGGGATTATCTTATGAGAAAAGGCTAAACAAGTTGGGACTCTACTAACTGGAGTTTAGAAGAATGAAAGGTTATTTCATTGAAGTGTATTGGATTCTTAAAGGGTTTGACAGCGTAAATGCTGAGAAGATGCTTCCCTTTATGGGACAGTCTAGGACCAGTCACCATAGTCTCAGAATAAAGGAGCACCAATTTAAGACTGAGATGAGGAGGAATTTCTTCTTTCAGAGGGTTGTGAGTCTTTGGAACTCCTTACCACAGAGCGGAGCAGAGTCCTTGTGTATATTTAAGGCTGAAACAGATAGATTCTTGATCAGTAGCGGAATGGAGGGTTTTGAGGAAAGGGCAGGAAAGTGGACATGAGAAGTGTCAGATCAACAATGATCCTATTGAATGGCATAGCAGACTTGAGGGGCTGAATGGCCTACTACAGTTCCTATTTCTTATGGTCTTATGATCTTAGATTAAGGAGTAAGTATTATGGATTGTCTAATTATATAATCCTCAGAGAGAACTCTTGTAGTGTCATGGTAGCATCCCTACCTCTGAGTTGGAAGCCCTTGGTTCAAGTCTAACCTCTTCTGGAGGTTTGTCATGATATGCCTAAACAGGATGATTAAAAATATCTACAATTCTCACCACAATGAAATGGAAACCTTGATGGTTTATGTGTGTGACGGCATTGCTGAATTGAGAGAGGAAGGAAGGCTTGGATTCGTACAGCGTCCTTCACAACTTTAGGAATGTCCAAGCATTTTACAGTTGACTAGCTAACCTGTGAAGTGCTGTTACTCCTCTACATAAGAGCAGGAGTCGACTACTTGACCCATCAAGAATGGTTACTATTGTGGTTCAGTTGTGATCTAACTCCACATTTACACCTTTACTCCTTATCTTTCAATACATCTGCTGAGTAAAAATCAATGACAGATGCAGAATTAATAATTGACACTGCATGGGCTGCCAATTGTAGTGGTGCTCAAAGCATTTAGCACCATTTGCGTGTAAAGGAGTTTCCTGACTTCACTTACATGTTTATCTAAACTCTATTTGTATAGCCTCTAACTAATTCCCAAAGAATCGTAACTTATTTTCTATTTCTTAATTCTATCCATAAAGACTGCACTGCCTGTTTACCAATCATTATCATTGAATTAATTTCATTTTTGATCATCCCCTTCTACTATTTTTCTTGTGCACCTTCTAACCTGATGTAATTAGATATCAGTATTGGCTATGTTCCAGCCATGCCTAAGGAATGGGCTACCATGTCGTACCCCACATTGAATACATCTGCAAATCATGCAACTTGTTCCTTCTACTTTTGTGGGCTGAATCTTCCCACATTATTACTCTGTCATTTTTGTAAAGTTTCATGGGAGGTTCTCTCCATGACGCCTAGGAAGTTTTCTCAAGCAATCATCACTAACCAACCTGAGTAACTACCCCCCTTACCTCTATGGTGTCTCTCTCATCCAATGATAACTCAATATGTCCACTCACTGTAGCTGAGAGTACTCACCATTGCTGGGACATGCTCGAATCCCTTGAGCCATCTTATTCCCAGTCAGTCTTCTTTTATATACTATCTAGCTTACTCTCATATTTCATCTTCTCCCCCACTTATTGCTTTTTTAGTTTTCCTCTGCTAGGCTTACCAATTCTCTCATTTCCCACTGATCATCACAACATTGTATGCTTTTTCTTTTGCTTTTATGCTGTCCCTGACTTCCCTTGTCAGCCATGATTACCTTGAGTCCCGCCTTAATATGTTTCATCTTTCTTGGGATGAATTTCTGCTGTATTTCCCAAATTTATCCCCAGAAACTCCTGCCATTGCTTTTCCACTGTCTTCCCTGCCAGGCTCCCCGTCCAATCAACTCTGGCCAGCTTCCCCCTCATGTCTTGGTAGTTACCAGTTATTTAGCCAACCGAGAAAAAGGAAAAAGAAATTGAAGATCCACGAACATCTAGCTCGGTTATATAATGCTGTGTTTAATTTTGCTGGTGGGACAAGCACAGCTTCTAACTGCATTGCCCACAACTCCCAAACTGGCAAACCCCAGGAATGTCAAGGTAATGAAAAAGCTAATCTTTTCTTATCTTTGAACATGAGCAGAGGATATTCCCTGGGGCTAAGTGCGAGAATACTTGCTTCAGTTTTAAGTTCTCCCATTGCCGTAACCAACTCTGTGATTCATAGAATTATTGAATGCCTACAAGTGTGGAAGCAGGCCATTCAGCCCATTGAGTCTATACTGACCCTCCAAAGAGCAGCCCACCCAGACACACCCCAACCCACCCTATCCCTGTAACCCTGCAATTCCGGTGGCTAATTCACCTAACGTGCACATCCCTGAACACTATGGGCAATTAAACACGGCCAATCCACCTAACCTGCATATCTTTGGTCTGTGGGAGGAAATCGGATTGGTCTCAGATGATTCCTGTGGGCTACACAGGCATAAAGCAACCTTCCTGAAGGTAATCTCTGTCATGAAAAGTTGAATCCTTCTAACTAAAGACAATAAACTTTAGCTTTGTGCTTTGTTAAGTCACTTCAAAAACATCAATGCGGGCACTATGTGTCACAGCACACTAAAACAGGGGAATCATAACTATCATCAGCTATTTATGCCTTTCAAAATTTTCATATTTTATGCTTTTGGACAGCAGAGTGGCTCAGTGGTTAGCACTGCTGCCTCACAGCACCAGGGACCCGGGTTCAATTCCACCCTCGGGCAACTGTCTGTGTGCAGTTTTAACATTCTCCCCGTGTCTGCGTGGGTTTCCTCTGGGCACTTCCACAGTCCAAAGATGTGCAAGTTAGGTGGATTGGCCATGCTAAATTTCCCATAGTGTCCAAGGATGTGCAGGTTAGGTGGTTTAGCCATGGGGAATGCAGGGTTGCAGGGTTACAGAGATAGGGTAGGGGGGCGGATTGGGGTAGGATGTTCTTCGGAGGGTCAATCAGCCGAATGTCCTGCTTCCACGCTGTAGGGATTCTATAAGCAATTTGGAAATCCTGCTCCAACTATAATCTCGAAAAGCCGTAAACAATCTTGACATTTAACAACATACCTATCTCCTTTCTGACTTTTTTACGAATCATGGCAGACAGAGTTCACTGGTCAAACAGCTAAAGCAATCCAACGGTCTAAAATGAAAGATAGTCCTTGCTAGGCCGCAGTTAGGAAGTTTATTGATCCTGAGGAGGTCTTCTGGTGCAGGGGTAGTGGACCAGAAGCTCCAGATTCAAGTCCCATCCCAGGACTATACCAGAAGAGTCAAACCAGACTTGTAACATTAACACCGTTTCTCTCTCCACAGTTGCTGCCAGACCTGCTGAGTTTCTCCAGCATTCTCTGCATTTGTTCCATCTCAAGGACTTGATGGCCAAGGAAGATGCATTTATAACAAAGTGAGTATCAATCTGAAATCTTTATAACATATTTCAACGGCAGGCAGTAAGAGCAAAAGAGACTGTTGCTGGAAAGAAAATTGGAGCTTCTACCATCACTATCCATAGGTCTGGATGACAATATGAATGTAAAAGTGCATACTGCCGCCCCAACTTGGATTCCCTGAGTAAACTGTAACATACCCTCACCACTGTAACCTGATGGCTTTAGTTACTTAAACTCCAGCAGTACCAACGTGTCTGTTGCACATGGGACATATCCCATTAGGCAGACTTTGTACACTCAATACTGAGCAAATGGAGACTTAATTTGTGAGTTTCTGAATAACTTGGTTTGAAACAGCCAAAACACAAGAGAAAGAGAAAAAGGAGATTTAAACAGGAAACATTATAGTTCATAAATCTAGGGCCTGACTGCTTTATTTATTGAACTATTCCTTCTCACGATAAAGGAAGTGGTTAGTCAATGATGCAGAACAGTGCAATTTGTACAGGTTTATTAGTCTAACTTGTATTCGGATATTGGAATCCTAAATAAAGAATGTCTATTTGATGCCAAATAGTAAAGTTTGACTTTAAGGCAGATGGCTCTCCTGATTCTGTGTGATAAATAGAACCCACACTGACTTTAACTAGGAACTGCAAAACAATCAACCACAAAGCCCAGGGTAATGGAGCTTAGTTTAACAGGCCTATAAGGAATAGGCAGATGGAGAAGAAATGCTTCAATCCTGTTTAATGGAGCTCAGAGGACACCTGAGTTAAATGGACCGGAACAAAAAATAAAGCAGCTTCCTGTCTTACTCGGTACTTACTAATCACAATGAGGGTGTAGTTGAGGTTAATGCTGCCAAAACCATTAGTGGCCTTGCAGATGTAGGTCCCAGCATCTTCAGCTTCCACTTCTTTGATTTTCAGACCCTGGCTCAGAACCCGGAATCGTGTCCAGCCACTGTGAATGGTGCGGCCATCTTTCGTCCACATGGTCAATGGTGGGGGGTCACCCTCGACTGGGCACGGCAACTTGATTGTTCGACCCAACCTCACAGTCTGTCGGTTGATCACTCGTGAAGAAATCTGTGGCGGACCTAAGGATCAAGTAGAAAAAGCAACTGGTTGAGTGGCCAGCGCAAGCTTAACATTTTTGAGTTGCTTTCTAACACACTCTTAACGACATTAGCACATCTCCATGTGGTTAGGCATGGTCAGTTACATGCCGTTTTATCATGACAGAACCTTTAAATAAAATGATATGCCCAAACTATTAGTCTTCTGCTAATTTCACTAAATCCAATAATATTAACCAATGATTTGATTGACGTGTTTAAATTCACAATAAGATGAGGCAGAGGAGAGAGAAATAGACTATTCCAAGTGCTTGTGTGATCTAGAAAGAGAAGGCATGGATTAATTTACTTTAAGTGATTTAAGATTGACAAGCACAAGAAATATTTTTAGAAGGGGTTTTAAGGCTGTAAAATGCATAACTAAAGTTAATGAATAAAGCAAAGACCATGTTAATATTTAAAAATAGGTTGGATAAGTGGTTTAAGGAAAAGCGAATAAGGTGGTTTAAGAGAAATGGGCATTGGAACAATGGATTCATGAGATTGAAGCTATTGTTTTTACATCACAAGAACAAGTTCTGAGGAAGGGTCACTGGACCCGAAACATTAACTCTGCTATTTTCTTCACAGATGCTACCAGACCTGCTGAGCTTTTCCAGCAACTTTGTTTTTGTTCCTGATTCACAGCACCCACAGTTCTTTCGGAATTTAAAAAACAACTCTTCAACTTTCCGCCCACGTAACCAAACAGATTTGAATTTTAGTGAGGCTAACAGATCAGACTGAAGATCAAACCTGAGACCTGTGTAATCTTTGGGTAACTTAGCAGTAGACCATACAGTGACACAGACACTGATCGGATAAGACATCAAAAACAATGTTTTTTTATTACAATCATAATTGGCAGGTTGGGATCAGGATGACTCTTCAAACTGATGTTTCTACTGAGGAGAAGCACTTGCCATGGGCACAAGTCAAGAAGTTGCTGGCAAACAGACAATGGTATCACAAGGTGCTTTGCTGGTCGCTCTAAGTCACACAAACACCGCAGTCAACAATATAATTTTGTGCTCTTTTTCCTGATGAGACATGAATGGTAGGATGGTTTTAAAAGTGCCGCATTTGAAGTAAATGAATGAAAACATGAAAATGACTGTTGGAAACATTGAGGAATTAATAGACAATACCTTCTCAGGACAAACACTGGCCATTATTTTAACATAAGTATGAACAATTCAACATGAAAATGGTTAATTTCTCAGTTACGATGGTGGACACAGGATATCATACAATCCCCTAATTCCCACAATTCCCCAATATTTAACATCAATAACACCATTTGGATCTTGAGTTTAAGATTCTTGATTTCACTACCAACACCCATCCAGATATAGATAATAGTTTGCATTAAGAAATTCTTCCTGAGATTTTTCTGAAGTTGTCTATTTGCTCATTTTAATCTGTTCCATTTTGTTTCAGTATTGAGACATTCCTTGAAAAAGTGTTCAAGATTAACCTTATCTATGCCAAGCCTGGACAGTCAGGATTAGCTTCATGATGTTTCCCACCACCCCCAACATAAGTGGAAAACATTTTGTCTTTATGTTTTGGTGATCAGTACCAAACACAGTATTAAGATGCAATTTTGACCACAGCTATATACCATTTACATACCAACTATACTCATTCACAGTTCTAGTCCATTCAATTTGAAAAATTTTGTTCCGTGGTAATTTGAAATTCCATTATTATAATTACATTATAATTCCATTATAATGTCAGCTTTCTTTCTTGTAGCTCTTTCTACATACGTGATAGTATATCTGTGACATTTTGTTTTTCTACCTAGATATAGCACTTGATTAAATATTTATTTGTATCTCATTTAATCTGCCACTTATTTGTCCATTTACAGATTTTATCTAAAACCATTAATTCAAATTGTGGCCCAAGGAGCCATCATGGTGTATCATGTTACAGCTTGGAGAATAATATTGGCCAGATTTTGCAGTCAGCAGTGAAGCGATCTCTGTGATTGGAGTTCCCCTTTTCTAAAGTTGCATCAATTCAGCATTTGCTGGAGGAGATTTGCAACATTCAGTAACAGTCTGTCACCAGGCAGGTTGAGCAACCAATCACATTGATGAACTCTTGTGAAAGAAAATCAATAATAACCAATAATTGTCCATACATAGTTTTTCTTTTTTGCTTATTCACAAGATGAGCGCGTCGTTGGCCAGACAGCATTTATTGCCCATTCCTAATTGCCAAGAGGGCATTTAAGAGTCAGCCACATGCTGTAGGTCTGGAGTCATATATTGGCCAGATGGCAGTTTCCTTCCCTAAAGGATATTTGTGAATCACACGTGTTTTTCTGACAATCGGCAATCGTTTGTGTCATCGTTAAACACTTAATTCCAGATTTTTTTTATTGGAATTCAAATTCCACCATCTGCCATGGCAGGATTCAAACCCAGGTCCCCAGAACATGATCTGGGACTCTGGATTAACAGTCCAGCGATAATACCATTACCTCCTCAGTCATTTTACAGACACTTAAATAAAGATTGGAACATATGTATGAGACTAACTTAGAAACTAAAGCAAAAGTGATTTTATCACAATTAAGACATTTCAAATTCAACAAACATCAATTGTATTTTCACAGCCAGAGAGGTTATCATCATGCACTACATATACTGTTAAAAGGATACTGGTTAGCTTGATTGACTAATTAGTCAGCAAACTGATGGTACAAACTAATGCCACCATACTGGATTTAATTCCCATTCTAGCTGAGGCAAATTTAGCACATGCCTCCTTACCCTGCCCCTAAGACTGGAGGGCAATAACATTGACAAACCAGTACTCGCAAGAAAACAGCTTGGTTAAGATGAAGCATCAGCAGAATATGCGTCAAGGATCTGTCTTTAGGCTTGGCACAGATGAACAAATGAACATTATTAAAAAAAACCAAGTTACATCTCATTGAGCAAAGCATTCATTCTTCAATGTTTTTTAAAATGAGAATATTTGCATTAAGGTGCAAGGTCACATCAATTCAAATAGTTTAAGAAGATTTCCATCTACAGAACGTCAACAGCACACCCAGAGGAGGATAAGGGAATCATGACAGCAACTTCTTGATGTCTACATTCATCCATACTTGTGCATGCCAGAAATTGCTATCACTTTCACAATTGTGACCCATTGATAGTTTTGCTGTTATTAAGACTGCAAAGTTTGGGACCCATGTATCTCGCAAATTACTGTACATTTTACAGGTAAAAGAATCCCTCCATTTTTATAATTCTGTTTCAATGAAGTATTACCACTGTCCCATGTAATGCCATAGACTATCAGTGCAGTATTAATCACTTACAACAATATAACTATGGCATGAATCAAGTTGTAAAATGTCACCACAGTACGAATTAGTTTAAGTGTACTTTTAGGATGTGAACTAGATGGAGCAGTTTTTATGTCCCTGCATTCCAAGGACTGCAGTGGTCCCAAAGGACAGCTTACCCTGAGGCAAGTAAGGATGGGCAACAAATGCTGGCCTTGCCAACAAGGCCCAGATCCTGCGAGCGAACCGAAAAAATTCAACTCCTGTTCCTCTGTCTCTATGTAGTATGTTCCACAATCCCGAATTAGCATGTTTTGTCATGAGCAGTATGTTTTGTTTGGTCATGCTTTGTTAATTCCTAATTTGTCAGATTGTGCACCTAATCAATAACATTGAACCAAAAGTGAACTGCAACAAATTGCATAGACAAAACCCTGTATGCAAGAAGTCACTTGTAATATCTGTAACAAGTCCTGCTTCTTTGAAAGAGTTATCCAGTTATCCCCACTCCCCTGCTGTTAACTTGTCATCTCGCAATTTTCTTTTCTACCCAATTGCTGCTTGAAGATATTTTTGAATCAATCTGCTCAGAGATATTATTACACACCTCTGGAGCAGGTGGGACTTTATTGTATCTGTTTATAACATCTTAACAAGCCCTGCACTCCAGATAACCCCTGTTTGCAGAAACAATACCATGTGATATGTGATAACCCTGCACAGGAAACATTGTCAGGGTCTCGGTTGGAGAACATCATTTCTGGCAAGGGATATAGTTGGTTAGACATTTGTCTTGCATGGTAACACATTGTTGGATTGGGAATATATTATATCTCATGGAGTATTCAATATCGTTGACTACAATGGAATTGAGCATTCAACAGGGTAAACAACAAGTAGCTGATAAGACACTATCCATTTCTACCCCATTGTGTTTTGGCAAGCCTTGTTTCACGTGGTTTATTGACTAATGCATGCGTAAAGCAAATAAAGCTGTAGATATAAAGAATGTGGTTTCCCAGATGCCACTGCATAATGTAGCGGATGCACCAACTGCGGAACAGCTTCTTGCTCCATGTTGGACTTACCACTGGGAAATCAACAGAAGAATTAATCTGAATGAATGCAGTCCAGAAACCAGGATTCAAGAGCCACCAGCAGCCACTTCAAAAGGACACATTTTCTGTGCTATGTTTGTTAACGTGCCCACATCCAGGAATGATTACGTACGACTTGTTTGACAGTCTTTTATGAAATATTGAACAAGATGAAAAAGTGCGGACCTCCGGGCAGCATAATTATCCCTCTACAGTTTCATTGATGCAAGCCATCTGGATGAGCATTTACACCCCATAGCCAACTACAGCTCTTGTAATAAACTCCGTCTCACCCCCTTGCCAATACCCACCCTCCCCTGCCTTCCACCTTGGCCTTTCATAATTGCTAGTTGTTGGCTAATCTGGAATTTTGCAGTAAAGAAAAACATTGCAATGTTTTAACTTGGGAAATATATATTCTGTCATGCCTTTGTCCAATGAAATATAATATTCATAATTAAGAGTGCGAACGCAAAGGCAGTTCCAACTAACAAAAAACCACTCAACATTTCTGCTTGCTTTGAATATTGGTGCGTGCAAGAGAGGTACATTTAAAAGTGCCAAATTGTATTGTA